CAGCTAGAGTAAGAGCAAAAGACAACGACAAGCCAAAAACTGACAAATCCCGAAGTAAACTTCACCAAAATTTGAAGCATCCTAGGTCGGAAATTGAATTCACCGATAGTAGCAAAAAGAATGAGTACCCTTAAGCTAAAAATTTCACTCGGTTGTGAGTCTGCAACTCAGCAACAAAGTCAAAGGCAAGGTGAGAGCCTAATGTGAGATGTGAGAGAGATACGAGATGAGAGATGTGAGGAAGGGCCGGAGGCGAGGTGTGAGGCAATTGCGAGACTGCGACGCAGCGACAGAGTTGAAGGCGTGGCCACGTGAGACTCTTACGGTGAGAGTGAGATGAGGCTAAGGTTTCTTCCTTTTGTTTCTATAGATTGTAGGGTGAATGGCAAAAGGCAGATAAGAAAAACTCATTTTTATTGAAAGATCGTTACGGTTATGGTGGATCAAAAATCGGATTGGTACTCACCGGTTCCAATAAATTGGAATGGGGAACCATATCATCCCTATAAAAACCGCCGGTTCCGGGATAGTCCAGGTCGATTCTGAAATGGTTCTCAATTCTTTTGTATACCCCCCACGTTCAACTCGTGATTCGGCAAAAGACAGTTGACCTTCTCAGTGTTCAACCAGCCACAGGAACGGTGAGCTTCCCACTACCTCTTTGTTTATCCAAGATCCGAGAATAGAATCTGTTCTCATGGACAGTGGACTGACGCTGAGGAAAAATGGCTTGGAATAAATGCTTGTCTTGGTTGTCACAAGTCACGCGGCTCTCGTATTTTTGTCTAACAATCAAACCTTAAGGAGAACGTCTGCTTACAATTAATTGAGAACCACCCCTTTTTTTGTTCATCCTTCCATATGGGAATAAAAAGGGTCCCCCATAAAAGCTCTTTCGGCATGGAGATATTCGAAATGCATTGAAAAGTATTCTGTTTTTTTTATTCGTGAAATGAGGCGATTTGAATACGAAGGATTTAGGAGATTTTCGGATTAATCTCAAGTGGGTGCTAGCGCGTATCTCAAAAGAAACAAGAGGTCAAGGATTCAAGTAGAGAAGGTCAAATTGTTGGCCGATGAACGCCATGACGCCCTCGCCAATGGCCGACAAGGGCGTCGCGGTCCTTGCCGGCCAGGGTTTGAAAAAAAAAAGGGAAGAAAAGAATAAGAATTAATTAAAATTAGAAAAATTATTAAAATTGTCAATGTCATGGCCAGCTGTATCACGTAGGATAGACAGCATCAATGTTAGCGATTTTCGGTCAAAATTGTCCGAATTGATTCAATTGGCAAAAATAAAAGGTTTATGATTAAATTGATAAAAGGATGATAGGTTTAAAATTTTTTAGATAATTTTCCCCATTGAAAAGTATTATTATTCGTGAAATGAGGTGATTTGAATACGAAAGATTTAGGAGTCATTGGATTTATCTCAAGTGGGTGCGTGTACGCATCTCAAAAGAAACAAAAGGTAAAGGGATTCAAGGAGAGAAGGTCGTACTATTCGACTTCTTGAAGAAGAGATGGTGATGGTATAAATAGATTCATCATGTGTTCGAGTAATTATAATTTCAAGCGATTCGGTCCTTGTAAATGAGACGATTGCTCATATAGGCCAGGTTAGTGGTGCGTTCGAGTAACTTAACAAGTCTAAGGTTAAAGAAGGAAAGGAAAACAGGTCGGTTTGCGCCTCCCAATTCTTCAAAAACTTGTACATGAAAGTGATGTTGTCTTACGACGGGGGAGCCTGTTTGTGTAGATAAGCATTAACAATTAAATATGCAATTAATCTTATGGTCTAAGTAAGATGAAAGCGAATGTTTAGACTAGTGGTCTTAACATGAGACAGTTTGCACTTAGAGCTAGTGGAGTCTAATCTGTATTATGCGCCTAGTCCACGCATACACATGTACTCCTTTGGCCACTAAAATATGATTTTACAATTTGAAAGCTTCGAAGATCAAGCGAGGAATAAGATTTAGTGCGATGTCAATTTGCCTATCCATTATACATTATTAAAATCGGAGCTGAACGAGTGTTCACATGGCACTTAACTTTGTCTTCGTGATATTAATTTGTTATCCCCGAACTTTTATCCTACATAAAGTTTAAATTACAAGAACAAATGAATAAAGAGATAGAATGGCAAATGTCTTCTCCAATATTTTTCTCCTTGGACTTTGATTTAAGTTTGAAAAAAAGAGTATAAAGAGACCAAATGGTTTAAAATATTTAATTATTATGCTTCCGAAACATTTATTTAGATGATTAAAAATTAAGTTAGAGAGAGAAATATATCTTATTATATGGATAATATTCATCATTATAAGTACACAATTTATCTATCTATTTTATTTTAAAGTATATTAAACAGTTTGAAGGTACCTTTTCAATGACATTTTTACTTAACATTCACTAAGAATTAACCTTTACAATAATATTAGTTTATTAAACTAAGAAAAGTGAAAATTTAACTTATTTGAAACAGGAAGATTCGATTTTTTGTCCATCTTTCGAAATTAAATATGACCTATACCCTTTAAGCAAATTTATTCATTGAAAGTTAAAATTAACATAAATCTATCAGAAAATCGTGTAGTTTAGAATTCATTAGAAATAAAGATAAGAGAGAAATTCAAAACTTTAGGTTCCATTTGTATTACGGAAAACAACTTCCAAATAAAAGTTATCCGAAAAAAAAAATCCATCTTTTGGTCAAGGAAAAAAAATTTCATCAATGGAAAAATTACCTTCAAAAAAGAGGAAATTATTTTCCCTCCTCTTTCTTTCTTTCACCGAAACCAAGCACATTCTCCTCCGAACACTCACCCGGTAAGCTCGAGCCAACTTTCTGAATATTATAAGAGGAGCCCAACCTAGGTAAACAATAATTTACAAAATCAGTGTATCAAAAGACGTGGCATATCGAATTTGGGCATTGATCACACATTCAACTTTCAATAGCGATTCACTCCACGAAAAAAGGTAGGCAAAGAAGCTAGGCGAAGGCGACCGCCGGCCTCAGCTCCGACCGAAACAATTCGGCCATGTCACTTGACATATCAGCTTTCCGAAGTAGATCTTGACGTGCTTGAGCATTTCCCAGTTTCCCACTAGGATCTTCTTCACCACTGCGCCGGCGGAGCTGCCATGAAAGAACAGACGAGCAGCCGCACGAGCAGAGCTTTTGAGGCGGAGGAGGGCCCAGTTTCGCCTGGGGAATGGCGACGGAGAATGCAAACAAAAAGGAGCGTGGACTTTCGACGTCCGCGGCCGAAACCGGAGTGGTGGCTGATCGGTACGTTGTATAATATCTCTTTTGTCGGGAAGACAGAAGCTCTCGTTCGTTCGGGAGACAGAATTCGTGTGTTGCACCATCCCATCCGACATCTTTGTTCGGTTCTTCCCAGGGCAGAGGACGAAAGGTCGACAGAGACGGGGGTCACGGTTGTGCTCTTGTGCACATCATGCAGCGACAATGGGATTTTCCACGAACAGTTAATACCACGAAATATTTTAAATTAATATATTTATGATAAATTTATTTCGAATTAATTTTTTTATCATAAAAAATTTTAAATTAGTACACTTACGATAAATTTACCCCAAATTAATTTATTGATCATAAAAAAATCCTAAATCGGTATATTTGTGACAAATTTACATTCCGTTATATTGAATTAATTTCACGAAAAAGCATAAACCGGTGCACCCGTGACAAGTGGAGAGTAAAACCCAAAACTGGTATACGTGTCATCCAATTTAGAAATTTGACGGTAAAATTTAACGGAAATAAACGGAGAGTAAAATTATTACACGTGTGTCGGTTTAGGGTTTTTGGTGATCGAAAAATTATTTTAGACTAAAATTTTCATAAATATATCAGTTTGGAGTTTTTCGTGGCATTAACCCTTAAATATAACGCCAGAGCAAGAGTTGTAGCTAATGTCTATTGATCTTCCTCATCCCTCGACAATTGAAAAAAAATTACACTGAGCCTTCAATGTTCATTTGAAAATATCTACATAAGAAATTGTAGATTAAATTTTAATGCGCGTCGAGGGACTTGCTAAGGCCGACTTGGCAATTCTTCACGTGATACGAGAACACCGTTCAAACATAGTGTGAATGTATCGAGAAAATCCTTAAATTGGCATGATACGACTGACTCAAAGGTGACACGTCGAGTAAATTGACCGTCCCATTATGGGCAGCGTCATCACCGGACCCTTAAACTTGCCGTTGATCTCAAAAATCTCTGCGAGCTCCAAATCTAGATTGAGTTGTGAGGTAATCATAATGGCGCTAATTCATCTAGTTTAATCTCGTCTTGGTGTTGCGTTAGACTCGAGTTGACTTAGAAAATCACCTCTATTGAGTGTCAATTTTGATTAACGCGATGTGAGTTAGGCTAGTGAGGCTTTTCCTCACATTTATAAATTGACCACCAGTCCCTTCCATAAGGGACGTAAGATAAACCCTAATAATCTCCCTCTCAGATGTCGGGTTCTTAAATTGGAGTAGCAAGGACCTGAATTTCCCATATGATTGTTTGATTCAAATTTGTTGGCAACCTAAGCTCCGATATCAATTTAGGCCTCTCTTATCTTAAAATTTAACTCAAAGGATGAGATTTTCCTTTACGCTTATAACCTGCATTAGCTCCTTCGGGATAATCCCAAACACGCGAATCATCTATTTTGGAATAACATACCATAAAAGAATGACAGAAAAATTTATGCGTGCATTCAGACCTTAGAAGACCAATTCACATGAATAGTTGGATGAGATAGGACCATGATGCATGCGACTTGTGGGATTGGGCTCCCTTGCACTGGAAAACCTTGTAACTTCTTCTAGAAATCACATAAAGATTAATTTAAACTACACAGAATCTGTGCAGAAAAAATATCTCTTATTCCCAAACCATGCAGCATCATGCATGGACTTGCTTTACAAAGCTCCAAATTCCAACTTGTTTATTTATATGATGAAGAGAGACTTCGATTCTCACCTTTTCACAGCACACTTGCACTATCCTCTGCTTTCCCTTCTGCTATTAATGATAGGGTAATTCCTCATCCCCACTCGATCTTAGCTTCTTCTCTTCCTCGTACAACTCCCAGGCGACGCTGCGGCGCACGTCCATCCTCGTCGTGCAACGGAGGACGAGCAGAAGATGACGACGACGAAGGTGAAACCACCCTGCAGCCACGTCTTCTTCTTCTTCTCCTTCCTCCTCCTCGTCTCAGCTTCCCTCGCCCAGAGCGACCTGGACGTGCTCCTGAAGCTCAGGACCGCCCTGGCCGCGCCTAACTCCACCGCCCTGGGCGACTGGGTCGGCCCCGCCTCCTCCTCGTCGCCGCCTTTTCCGCATTGCTCCTTCACCGGGGTCACGTGCGACGCCGACTCGCGGGTCGTCTCTCTCAACCTCACCTCCGTCGGCCTCTTCGGCCACATCCCCCCCGAAATCGGTCTCCTCCGCGACCTCGTCAACCTGACGCTCGCGGCCGACAACCTCACCAGGGGGGTCCCGCCGGAGCTTGGCAACCTCACGTCCCTCCGGTTCCTCAACCTCTCCGTCAACCTACTCTCCGGGGTCTTCCCCGGCGGAGTCCTGAGGGCGATGACCGAGCTCGAAGAACTCGACGTGGACAACAACAACTTCACGGGGCCGCTGCCGCCGGAGGTGGCGGGGCTGAAGAAGCTGAAGCGGCTCGACCTCGCCGGCAACTACTTCACCGGCGCGATACCGGAGGTTTACTCGGAGATGGAGAACCTGGAGTTCCTGGCCCTGCACGCGAACCTGCTGACCGGCAGAGTCCCCGCGAGCCTCGCGAAGCTGAAGAACCTCCAGGGGCTCTACCTGGGCTACTTCAACGTGTACGACGGCGGGATTCCGGCGGAGTTCGGGTCTCTGAAAGAGCTCAGAATCCTCGACATGGCGAGCTGCGGCCTCTCCGGCGAAATTCCGGCGAGCCTGAGCGAGCTGAAGAAGCTGCACACTCTGTTCCTCCAGTTTAACAAGCTCACGGGCTTCATTCCCGCCGAGCTCTCCAAGATGACGAGCCTCATGTCCCTCGACCTCTCCAACAATTACCTCAACGGAGAGATTCCGGCGACCTTCGCCGAGCTCAAGAACCTGACTCTGCTCAACCTGTTCGCAAACAACCTGTACGGACAGATCCCCGATTTCGTTGGCGAGCTGCCGAACCTGGAGGTCCTCCAGGTCTGGAGCAACAACTTCACGTGGAAGCTGCCGGAGAGTCTAGGGAGGAACGGGAGGCTGATATTGGTCGACGTCACGCAGAACCACTTCACCGGCACGATCCCTCGGGGCTTGTGCCGGGGAGGGAGGCTGAAGACTCTGATCCTGACGAACAACTCGTTCTTTGGCCCGATCCCTGAAGAAATCGGCGAGTGCAAGTCGCTGACCAAAGTCCGGGTCGGAAAGAACTGCCTCGACGGAACGATTCCCCGGGGGATCCTCAGCTTGCCTCGGGCGACTATAATAGAGCTCAACGACAATCTCTTCTCCGGCGAGCTCCCGGCGGAGATGTCCGGCGAGAGCTTGGGAATCCTGTCGCTCTCGAACAACTGGATTTCCGGTGAGATCCCTCCGGCGATTGGCAACTTCAGCGGCTTGCATACTCTGTCCCTGGACGCGAACAGGTTCCATGGCGAGATTCCCAGCGGGCTTTTCTCGCCGAGGTCCCTTCTGGTGGTGAACATCAGCGGGAACAACATGAGCGGTGAGATTCCTGGTTCGGTCGCTCGGTGCACTTCTCTGGTAGTCCTAGATTTGAGCAGGAACAAACTCGCCGGCGAGATTCCAAAAGGCTTGTCTCTCCTGAAAGTGTTGGGCGTCCTCAATCTGTCGAGCAACAGATTGACCGGCCCAATTCCGAGGGAAATTCGCGTCATGACCAGCCTCAACACGCTCGATTTGTCCTTCAACGATCTCTCCGGCGAAGTCCCCCACGAGGGCCAGTTCCTTGTCTTCAAGAACTCCTCCTTCCTCGGAAACCCCAAACTATGCTCGCCAGGCCGCTCGTCTTGCCCCTCTAGGTCAAGTGCCTCGCTCACTTCCTCAAGGGTTGTGATCACGGCAATCTCACTCGTGACCGCCGCGCTGCTTATCACCGTTACGGTCTACAAGGTCCTGAAGAGGAGGCAGGGCTTGAGGGCTTGGAAGCTCACTGCGTTCCAGAAGCTTGGCTTCAAGGCCGAGGACGTGCTCAAGTGCCTGGAGGAGGAGAATATCATCGGCAAAGGTGGTGCAGGGATCGTCTACCGCGGGTTGATGCCCAACGGGGTGGACGTCGCCATCAAGCAGCTGGTGGGGAGGAGCGGCAGCGGGTGCAGCGACCACGGCTTCTCCGCGGAAATTCAGACCCTTGGTCGGATCCGGCACCGGAACATCGTGAGGCTTCTCGGATACGTCTCCAACAAAGACACCAACCTGTTGCTGTACGAGTACATGCCTAATGGGAGCTTAGGGGAGTTGTTGCATGGGTCGAAAGGCGGCCACTTGCAGTGGGAGACCCGGTATCGCATCGCCGTGGAGGCTGCGAAGGGGCTGTGTTACCTCCACCACGATTGCTCGCCGCTGATAATTCACCGGGACGTGAAGTCGAACAACATACTACTGGATTCTGACTTCGAGGCGCACGTAGCTGATTTCGGGCTGGCCAAGTTCTTGCAGGATGCCGGTGCGTCGGAGTGCATGTCGTCCGTGGCTGGTTCCTACGGCTACATAGCCCCAGGTCTGGAGTTATTTCTATGGCTTCAGTTATTTCTAACTTGTGTTTGATATAGCAGTCTGCAGATTAAGTGCAATGTCCCTGGAGAGAAAGTGTCAAATGGCAATTCATCGATGGCCGGGGGTTATTAGTTAATTATAGGCTATATAGACAATTAAGAAAACATAGCTAAGTAATATTGTTTATTTATAGCTAATTGGTGAACTGCCTGCTATTGCTGTGTCACAGAGTATGCCTACACGCTGAAAGTGGACGAGAAGAGCGACGTGTACAGCTTTGGGGTCGTGCTGTTGGAGCTGATAGCCGGGAGGAAGCCGGTGGGGGAGTTTGGCGACGGCGTGGACATCGTGAGATGGGTGAAGAAGACCGTGTCGGACCTACCGCAGCCGCCGTCGGACACGGCGTCGGTGCTCGCCGTGATCGACCGCAGGCTGAGCGGGTACCCGATGGCGAGCACGATCCACCTCTTCAAGATCGCGCTCCGGTGTGTCGAGGACGAGAGCTCCCAGAGACCCACCATGAGAGAAGTCGTCCTCATGCTGACAAACCCTCCTCCGTCCACTCCATCCGCCACTGTCGCCGCTGGCCCGGATCTCATCAAACTGTAGGGGACTCTCCGCTGTTTTCTCTGTAAAATAAAGCTGATGGTGCTTTGCAAATGATCTTGGCCATAAGAGGCTGTGTATGGTTGAATGTTCGATTTTCATATAATAAGGTTTCCTGTGCAAGTGGTTTTGAATGTATCTTCCTTCTATGGTGGTTCAATGTAAAAAAGTTTTTTAAGTCTCTTGAAAAATTGGCTACTAGGAACTCGTCGATCCGATTTGGCACTCGTTAGCTAGTTTCGAATTGCAATGAAGGGGCAAACATTGGTGAATGCCGAAGTTCTTGAATCGGAGTGATCAGGCCCCTGGCAAATTGAAATTTGCCGTTGGCATGATCTTAAGAGATTCTCTCGTTATGATCGCCGGCAAGGGTCGCCCACGCCTGGGCGCGGATCTGGCGAGGGCGACCCTCGCCCGACGCCGGCAAGGGTCGGATCTGGAGAGGGCTTCCTCCGCCGAAGAGAAGAAAAGAAAAAAAAAAGAAAAAAGAAAAAGAAGAAAATGCCCATGGGCCAAAGTAACGTGAGGTAAATGTGTCGCAGGTGGTATAGTTTGGGATTTTTTGTGTCACAAAAACAAGTTCAGGGTAAATTTGTTACAAGTGGCATAGTTTGGGGTTTTTCGTGTCACAAAAAAAAGTTCAGGGTAAATTTATCTCAAGTGACATAGTTTAGGAATTTTGGTGATATTTTCCCTTCCAGAAATGCGTGTATGTTATTTCGAGCGCTGATAAAGCATCCGACTAAATTATACCATAAAATGTATTCATCGTTTGTTCCACAAACACTAGCAAGGGTAAAAATAATGTACATGAACCAAGACATTCAGGCCCAATAGGCTCGGCCATGAAATGAATCAACATTTTCTTTTTCTTTTTTTCATATACAGCGACATGCAACTTACTTTTCGACGTATGATGAAACGGTTTCGCTGCAGATTCAAATTTACGATGCCGAACGTCATGGTAGGTTCGGTCAAGATCATGTCGAAAGCAGGGACAGGCATGGCCATGCTCAACATTGGTACATACGAGCCAAGCTAACATGAACATCGATTCCGAAGTTCAAGAATAAAAAAGCAGAAGATAGTTAGCATTAGGTTTGAACTCATTGCCATTTAGATGATTAATGAAAGTGTATGGTGCATGTGAATTGTAGGAATAAATATAGCAATGCAAGGGAAAAAACTTAGTTGAAGTAACGGTGCAGTCTTGACCCCATATTTTTCCAAGGAAATCGGATGACTTGGGAAATCAAAATCCCACCGCCTAGGCTAATTTTGGTCGGATATTGCTGACATAGTCGCCCGCCGGCCTACGTGGTACCGCCGGCATTAACGTTGATAATTTTTAATAATATTTTTATTTTTTTATTTTGATATTATTTTTTCTGATTTTGTTTCTTTCTTTTCTTTTTGCTCCTTTTTTCTTCCTTCGGCTAGTGATCGGCCACGGTCGATGGTCGGGTGGGCTGGCCTCGCGAGGGCGAGGGCGAGGCCCAGTTGACCCTCCCTTGGGCGAGGGCATGCCTCAACGAGAGTCGGCCTCGCCAAATCTGGCTTGGGCAAGGCTGATTCTCAGCAGGCCTTGCTTGGTCGAGGGCGGGCCCTGACGAGTGTTGCCTAGGCCTCGCTTGTGGCGGGCGATGACGGCCTCGCCATCCCGCTGGGCCATGGCCGCTGAGCACGTGGCCGGTCATTGGCCAAAGGTAGAAGAAAGGAAAAAAGAAAATAAAAGAAGGAAAAAAAAGAAAAAAAAATCAATTTTTTTAACAAAATCGAAAATTTATTAAAAATTATTCACGTCAGCGCTGGCGGTGTCATGTAAGCCAGTCGGCATCCATGTCGGCACTATTTGACCAAAATTAGCCGAAATGATTAAATTGACATAAAAATAAACTTTTTTTAGGACTAAATTGGTATAAAAAAAGGTTTAAAACTGAATTTGCATCAATGCAAAAGGTTTAGAACTTTTCTGGCACTTTTCCCTATTTATTTCAATAAGCGTGATTCTTTGATACAATACGATTAGCGTTTTCAAGATTAATCAGTTGAATTTCCGTAAGTTGCAAATTATAATTGCGTATTTACTATGAGTATACCACTTCATTTCGTAAACTAATTTTATAATTCAGTTTTGATACAGCTAGTATTGTTCTTTCATTAATCACGACGATATGAATAATATATGCATGTACCACGCAAATGTAAAGAAATTTCATTAGTAAAACACACCTTTTTTTGCCAATAAAACACGCCTTTAATATGTTGTAAATTAGCGTCTATGGAAGTGCCGCCTGTACCCAAAAGAAAATAATAATAACCAAGAAATCTAATATGAAATAAATTGTTAAAATAAAAATGTTTGATAAAATTGAGATAGTTAGGGCGCGAATGACAACCATTATATTTTTCTATTTTTCTGTTATCGGGAACAGATTTGGAACAGAAATTTGTTTGGCAATGCAATTTCATTTTTTTTTATTTCTGGAACAATTTTAGCCCGGAAATAAGTTTGTAACAGAAATGAGAAGTATATTTTTTTACTTTTTTACTTCTGGAACATAAACAAAAATAACAACTCTCTTTATTGCTCGCTCTCGCTGCCCGCCTTTCGGCCGTTCGCCATAGCCCACCATCACCTGCCCGCTGGCCATTTGCCATTGCTCGCTCGCCAGCCTTTCGTCGCCGCTAAGAACAGAAATTTAAGAATAACCTATTAAACGAATTTCTAATCCGAGAACAGAAATTTTATGTCGTTATCAAACGCTATTTTTTTTTAATCACTATGGTTTGCTCCAGTGGCCACTCTTCCTATTCGGGAAGTGGGAGGTGGGGAGTTCGAATCCCCACCTTCTCAGGGGGACTAAGGATGGGTACTTGTAGTTTCAGATGTGAGTTTCGACTTCCACGTCCTGCAAGAGGTAGGGCAAAAGTCTGAGCGTGAATTGAGAGTTAGAGTAGGACAGGCAAAAAATAAAAATAAATAATGCTATTTTTTCTCATAAAACTCATATGGAGAATAGAGAAATAAATTGTTCTATTTATAATGAGAAATAGGGCCGGAGAAGAGAACGGTTATTATTCACGTTTTATCACTAGTGAATAAACAAAATGAATTAAAGTCCAGCTTGAATGATGTTTGCCCCGTTTTGTCTGTTTGATCCGAATGGGTCTAAAGACAAACCCATTTAGCTTAAAAAAGGTTATTAGTTGAAGAAATAAAAAAAAAAAAAAAGAATTAAAACAGCCGACTTCGACACACCAAGCTTCACTACAGGGTCCGCTTCATGTGCAGCTACAACGGCGAGATCCAGCGGCGTTCCCATGACAACCAACACGCGGCAAGACCAAGATCCTCGCCGTCGATCGCAGTAAAATCGGCTGTGCCGCATGTTGTCCAAGCCCGCGAGGTTGGGGATCTTTTGGTTCCAAATGAGCGGGTTCGGCTTCCGCGAGTTTTGCGAAATAAGACGGGGTGGTTCATGGATGCCTTGAATTCGGTTGTCGCCAATGGAATCGACGGCGGCTGTGGTGGCGCTGGATCCGGACTTCCTATTCAGCTTTGGAAAAGAATTCCTGGCGAGAAAGCCGTAGGATCCACTGGCAATGGCAATGGCAATGGCAATGGCAATGGCAATGGCGGTGGCGCCTCTCGATAGGGACGCTATGGCCGGATAGACTGGCACGTGATTGGAGAGCCGGTGAATTCACAAGCGGAGGGGAAGGCGGATGGGGTGCGGCAGCGGCAGCGGAGGCGGATTAGGATCAATCGTTTAATATTTTTAATATTTTTTGCAGATCAATTTAAAGGATGAAAAATGATTTCAGATCTATTAGGCCTTTTTCTTTATTTTTTAATGGATTGAATGGGTGAATTTGAGTTGGATGTAGGCCGCGCTAGGTATGAATTATCTAAAATATTTAGAAAATAAATAGGTCGATATGAATTGAATGAGAAAATTTTAATCGAACCCATTAAACACAAACCCAACTTCCGACCAAAAAAAAAAAAAAAACTTCCGACCCAAAAAAAAAAAAAAAAACTCCAACCCAACTTACCCATTTGTCACCCCTGGCGATCGCCAGCCTCAGCTCGATCAAAGAATCTGGCGAGGTCACATTAACATATCAGCTTTAAAAAATATAGATCTTGATGTACTTGACCATTTCCGAGTTTCCCCATCAGACCAGCTAAAGCCACTCAAGATCTTCACCACTGCACCTCAGAGCTGGACGTGAAAGAGCAGACGGAGGAGCCGTACGAACAGAGCTTTTTGAAGGAGGAGGAGGAGGAGGAGGCGGAGGGGGGCCACTTCACCTGGGGAGTGGCGACGGAGAGAATGCAAACAAACAGGAGAGTGGACTTTCGTAGGTCGCGGCAAAAAACGGGTGTCAGGCCGGGAGGGGAGGGTAGATGACATGCCGAGCCTTTGCGCTGGGGGTCGGACTTGACCCCATCCGAGTCCCTCAGGATCCAAAACCATCCCAACCGTCGATCATACGAAACAAATTTGGCAAACCGGGCCTCACACATGGACCACTATTCAAACGAGCGGGGGGTTGTCTTTGCGCTTCTTGCCCTGTAGATTCGTGAACTTTTGATGTGTAAGTTCGACCCATCAATGATCGAGATTCATCCCCGGTGCACCGTATCGTGTCTTTGTCCTGAGGACAGCAGAAGCTGTCGTTCCGGAGTCAGAAAGTCGCCTCCTACACCATCCCCCCATCTGACATCTTTGTTCGATTCTTCCCAAGGCAAAAGGACGAAAGGTCGACAGCGACGGGGTCACGGTAGTGCCTGCGCGCATCGTGCGACGACAATTGGCTTTAAATGTAATGATGCCAGAGCAAAAGAGCAAAGAGTGTAGCTGATGTCTATTGACATGAAACCGGTTAGGAACGGCGAAGATCGACGTGCGACCGACGCAATCTGGACGACACGACGCGAAATTGACCTGACCGATAGGTGCAGCATCCATCGTCGGCCCCCTTAAACTCGGCGTTGATCTCAGAAATCTCGGCGGGCTCCAATTCTAGATTGAGTTTGCGAGGTTAATCAGAGCGGTGCTAATTCATTGAGTTTGATCTCGACTTGAAATCGCAATTGCATTAGACCCGACCCGACTTGGATGACCACATCAATTGGACGCCGATTTTCATTAACGTGAATCATCCTAGTTTGGAATAATGTAACATAAAAGAATTAAAGAAAGATTCATACTTGCATTCGGGTTCATATGAATCTTTAGATGAGGTGAGATTCACGGTGCACGTGACTAGTGAAGTTGGGCTCGCTTGCACTGGGACCTTAAAGACTATCTTCCAGAAACCGCATAAGATTAATCACACGGATTAATTTGTCCCCAGTTTGAAACTTCACAGAAACTGTGCAGGAAATGTCTCTTATCCCCATAACCATGCAGCAGCATGCATGGACTTGCTTCACAAAACTCCAAATTCCAATCGTTTATTCATATCACGAAGAGAGACTTTCCATTCTCACCCTTTCACAGCACAGCACACTTGCCCTATCCTCTGCTGTCTCTGCTGCTATAGATAATAGTGCAGCTCCTATTCCCTATTCGAAGCTACGTCGCAAGTCCTTCATCGAACAACAGAGAAGAAGAAGAAGAAGAAGCTGATGACGAAGCTGAAACCACCCTGCAACCACGTCGTCTTCTTCTTCTTCTGCCTCTTCGTCTCAGCTTCCCTCGCACGGAGCAACCTCGACGTGCTCCTGAAGCTCAAGACCGCCATGGTCGGGCCTTCCTCCGCCGCCCTCGGCGACTGGGTTGGCTGCTCCTCCCCGCCGCAGCCGCTTGCGCATTGCTCCTTCACCGGAGTCACGTGCGACGCCGATTCGCGGGTCGTCTCTCTCAACCTCACCTCCGTCGGCCTCTCGGGCTACATCCCCCCCGAAATCGGCCTTCTCCGCGACCTCGTCAACCTCACGCTCGCCGCCGACAACCTCACGGGGACTCTCCCGCCGGAGCTTGGCAACCTCACGTCCCTCCGTTTCCTCAACCTCTCCGTCAACCTCCTCTCCGGAGTCTTCCCCGGCGGAGTCCTGAGGGCGATGACCGAGCTCGAAGAACTCAACTTGGACAACAACAACTTCAAGGGGCCGCTGCCGCCGGAGGTGGCGGGGCTAAAGAAGCTGAAGTGGCTCAACCTCGCCGGCAACTACTTCACCGGCGTGATACCGGAGGTTTACTCGGAGATGGAGAGCCTGGAGTACCTGGGCCTGCAGGGGAACCAGCTGACCGGCAGAGTCCCGGCGAGCCTCGCGAAGCTGAAGAACCTCCGGGGGCTCTACCTGGGTTACTACAACGCGTTCGACGGCGGGATTCCGGCGGAGTTCGGGTCTCTGAAAGAGCTCAGAATCCTCGACATGGCGAGCTGCGGCCTCTCCGGCGAAATTCCGGCGAGCCTGAGCGAGCTGAAGAAGCTGCACACTCTGTTCCTCCACCTCAACAAGCTCACGGGCTTCATTCCCGCCGAGCTCTCCAAGATGTCGAGCCTCATGTCCCTCGACCTCTCCAACAATTACCTCAACGGAGAGATTCCCGCGACCTTCGCCGAGCTCAAGAACCTGACTCTGCTCCACCTGTTCGCGAACAACCTGTACGGCCAGATCCCCGAATTCGTTGGCCAGCTTCCCAACCTGGAGGTCCTCCAGGTTTGGAGCAACAACTTCACGTGGAAGCTGCCGGAGAGCCTAGGGAGGAACGGGAGGCTGATATTGGTCGACGTCACGCAGAACCACTTCACCGGCACGATCCCTCGGGACTTGTGCCGGGGCGGGAGGCTCAAGGCTTTGATCCTGACGAACAACTCGTTCTTTGGCCCGATCCCTGAAGAAATCGGCGAGTGCAAGTCGCTGACCAAAGTCCGGGTCGGCAAGAACTGTCTCAGCGACACGATTCCCCGGGGGATCCTTAACTTGCCGCGAGCAACTATTATCGAGCTCAACGACAATCTCTTCACCGGCGAGCTCCCGGCGGAGATGTCCGGCGAAAGCTTGGGAATCCTGTCGCTCTCGAACAACTGGATTTCCGGTGAGATCCCTCCGGCGATTGGCAACTTAAGCGGCTTGCATACTCTGTCCCTGGACGCGAACAGGTTCGCGGGCGTGATTCCCAGCGAGCTGTTCTTGCCAAGGTCCCTTCTGGCTGTGAACATCAGCGGGAACAACATGACCGGCGAGATTCCCGGTTCGGTCGCTCGGTGCACTTCTCTGGAAGCCCTTGATCTGAGCAGGAACAATCTCGCCGGCGAGATTCCAAAAGGCTTGTCTCGCCTGAAAGTGTTGAGCGTCCTCAATCTGTCGAGCAACAGATTGACCGGCCCGATTCCGAGGGAAATACGCGTCATGACCAGCCTCAACACGCTCGATTTGTCCTTCAACGATCTCTCCGGCGAAGTCCCCCACGAGGGCCAGTTCCTTGTCTTCAAGAACTCCTCCTTTGCCGGAAACCCCAAACTATGCTCGCCAAGCCGCTCGTCTTGTCCCTCGCGGTCAAGAGCCTCGCGCACTTCGTTGAGGCTCGTGATCGCGGCAATCTCGCTCGTGACTGCTGCGCTGCTCATAACTGTCGTGGTCTACCAGGTCCTGAAGCGGAGGTGGCGGGGCTCGAGGGCCTGGAAGCTCACTGCCTTCCAGAAGCTCGGCTTCAAGGCCGAGGACGTGCTCAAGTGCCTGGAAGAGGAGAATATCATCGGCAAAGGTGGTGCAGGGATCGTCTACCGCGGGTTGATGCCCGATGGGGCGGACGTCGCCATCAAGCAGCTGGCGGGGCAGGGCGACAGCGGGAGCGGGCGCAGCGACCATGGCTTCTCCGCCGAGATTCAGACCCTCGGTCGGATCCGGCACCGGAACATCGTGAGGCTCCTTGGGTACGTCTCCAACCAGGACACCAACCTGTTGCTGTACGAGTACATGCCTAATGGGAGCTTAGGGGAGTTGTTGCACGGGTCGAAAGGCGGTCACTTGCAGTGGGAGACGCGGTATCGGATCGCCGTGGAGGCCGCGAAGGGGCTGTGCTACCTCCACCACGATTGCTCGCCGCTGATAATTCACCGAGACGTGAAGTCGAACAACATTCTGCTGGATTCGGACTTCGAGGCGCACGTCGCGGATTTCGGGCTGGCCAAGTTCTTGCAGGACGCCGGTGCGTCGGAGTGCATGTCGTCCGTGGCCGGATCCTACGGCTACATAGCCCCAGGTCGGGAGTAGACTCTGGCTTCATTAATATCTAAGTCGTGTTTGATATGTCACTCTGCAGAACAAGTGCAATGTCCCTGGAGAGAAATGTCAATTGGCAATTCATCCATGGCCGGGGGTTTTTTAGTTAATAATTATAGGCTATAGACATAGAACAAAACGTAGCTAACTATTAATTATTAGCGAGTTAGTCAAAGTCAACTCGAAACTAATCTTGTTTATTTATAGCTAATTGGAGAACCGCTTGCTATTGCTATGTCACAGAGTATGCCTACACGCTGAAGGTGGACGAGAAGAGCGACGTTTACAGCTTTGGCGTCGTGCTGTTGGAGCTGATAGCCGGGAGGAAGCCGGTGGGGGAGTTTGGCGACGGCGTGGACATCGTGAGGTGGGTGAAGAAGACCGTGTCGGACCTCCCGCAGCCGCCGTCGGACACGGCGTCGGTGCTCGCCGTGATCGACCACAGGCTGAGCAGGTACCCGATGGGGAGCGTGATCCACCTCTTCAAGATCGCGATCCGGTGCGTCGAGGACGAGAGCTCCCAGAGGCCCACCATGAGAGAAGTCGTCCACATGCTGACAAACCCTCCTCCGTCCGCCTCCGTCGCCGCCTCTCCGGATCGCATCAAACTGTAGGGGACTCTCCGCAGTTTTCTCAGCAAAACAAAGCTGATAGGGCTTTGCAAAAATTATCTTTGGGCCAGAAGAGGCTGTGTATGGGTGAATGTTCAAATTTTCATGTAATAATGTTGTCTTGTGCAAGTGGGTCCTGAATGTGTTTTTCCTTCTGTGGTTGTTCAATGTAAAGAAGCTCAAGTCTCTTGCAAATAAAGGGGGCAATCATCGGTGGACGCCGGAGTTCCCGAATCAGAGTGACCAGCCTCTTGCATATCAAAATTTCCTGTTAGTTTGATCTTAGGAGATTTTTCCCTTTACGATGACGGGATCAAGAATCACTTGCGTTCTAGCGTGCATGCATTTTGTGGTGCTTAAACAAAAGAGATAAGTGCATTGAAAGTCCTCAAATTTTGTCACACGGTGCAATTGAGTCTTAAAATTTTTAAAAAAAGTGCAATAAGGTCCTAAAACTTGTCACAAAGTGTAATTGAGTCCTAAAATTTTCAAAAAGTGCAATTAAGTCTTAAGACTTGTCAAGTTAGTTCGATTAAGTTATTTTTTTTTATTGCACTTTTTAAAAGTTTTAAAATTTAATTGCACTTTCGCAACAAGTTTTAGGATTCGATTACACTTTTTGAAATTTTGGGGACTTAATTGCACTTTCATGACAAGTTTTAGGACTTGATTGCACTTTTTGAAAGTTTTATGACTCAATTACACTTTCGTGACAAGTTTTAGGACTTCTAACGCTCTTATCTCTAAACAAAACACGTGACTTGCGCGCCTAAGTCAAAAATCCATAATGAGAGTACTGGGCATGGCTTTGACAATAAGTTTGTTTTTTCGAACGCTGATATAGCATCCGACTAAATTGACAGAATGTATCGACCAAACGCTCACGCTGGCCTTCGTTAAGAGGCTACCTCTTAACGAGGGGCTTCCTTAGATCTTTAGTGCTCTTTTAATAGGTAACCTCGTCAAAGAAGGGAGCTTTCACTCCTACAAGGGGCTTCTTGGTTGATCCCCATCCTGAGGGCACGGGCTTTACGGATGCGTTCTTTATATTAACGTGTCGGTGTTTGCATTCTTCGCACTCCTGATTTTCCTTATTTTTATATCTTTCCCGTAGGGCGGGCATGCCCTATGGAAGTTTTACATTGCGGTGATCCCGAGATCTCAACAACGAGGTTAGATACTTGATGCGAGTGAGTCGGACTCCACTCGGGTCATTCAGCCGGTGCCCCGAGATATTCAGGGCCGGGTTGCAATTTTTTGGCCCATTTTGGTCTGTGACCCGAACAATCGGCCCGAATTACGAACGACCTCTTTTAGCGCCATCGTCCGCTACTTTTTGAACACCGAAAGCATCCGAACTTCCCTCCTCCCGATCAGGAAGAATCTCTACTGAAATCGAAGTCCTGATTTCCGCCATTTCACTCTGTGAACACTCTCGCCCCACCAGCTCACCAGTGAAATGGAGGAAGATCAAGAGCAGCCGCCGCCGCCGCCGCCACCGCCGCCGCTTCCGCCGCCTGGTGCGGATGCTGCGGAGGAGACGACGGAGAAGAGCCCGCCGCCGTGTCCGGACACGGTCACCGTGCGCCGAAACCCTCACCGCCGAGCGAGGCCCACGCCGTCGGCGACCACCGCTCGCAGATCGCCTGGCTCGCGAAGACCGGAGCTACCGGACGTCTCTTCGTTTCGACTGGACGAGATTCTGTCCTCCGACGTTTCGGAGAAACCGCGGCCGAATATCTCGGAGTCCGAGTCGGAGAATCTGAAGGTGTACCTCAGAATCCGACCTCCCGGCGTCAGTAGTGCTCACGGGTCCAGAAGAAACCGCGATATGGTCGAGCCGGTTTCTAGGGCTCGGAACGTGTGGCCGTTGAATCCGGTGAGGAAGAAGGACGCGAGAGAGAAGAGCGTGAGGAAGAAGCAGCAGCTGAGCAGCGAGATCTGCATCAGTGTGAACGATGCCACCTCGGTGACGTTGATGCCTCCGGTAGCTTTGCAGGAGTCGAAGAGGATCAAATCCGAGGTCTATGGAGGTTTCTCTGGAGTCTTCTCGATCGATTCCACGCAGGTTTTAATCGCATTTCACTGTTTGCTAGAATCACGAAGGAATTATGAATTTTTCTTCACTTCAATAGATGTAGATAGTTGAATTCATGCTCTCTGCATGAATGTAGTTCAAAGCAACACTCTCTGCATTCCCATAATCTTGGACGATAATTGGGATGTGGGAATTTTAACTAGTGACAATTACAGAATAGATTGGGATTTATTTAAATCTCTTGACTTGCTGTAGGATGAAGTGTATAAAAGCATGGTGAAGCCTCTTGCGGATGATTTTTTGAGGGGTAAAAGTGGGATGCTGGCTGCGCTGGGGCCTAGTGGCTCTGGCAAGACTCATACAGTATTTGGGACTCCTAAAGACCCAGGCATGGTGCCACTTTTGTTGAGACAGATTTTTGAGGATTCTCAGGGAGGAACCATTAAGTCCCAGAGGTAAAATTGTAGATTTTTTTGAGGATTGTGATAAGGTGTTTTCAAAAATAATCTTTGAAAAAGTTTGGTAATGACCATCCTGAGCATGATTGTTGGTTCCAGGTCATTCTTACTTTCAATGTTTGAGATATGCTCAGAACGAGGCAAAGGGGAAAAGGCCTTTGATTTGTCTAATGGCTTTGAGCTTTCTATGCAACAGTGGACTCTAAAAGGTCTCCAGGAGGTGATTGTCGATAGTTATTTATGCTTTCAGTAAATTGGCATCTTTTCTTTTTTGCTTGATTTGCATGTGTTGTTGATAAGATATGATGACTTAAATTTTTGAATTGAAGCAGGTCATCATTACGGACTTAGAACAGGCAGAGTCCTTAATAGCCTGTGGAATGTTGAAGCGTGCCACTGCCATGACGAACACAAATAGTCAATCAAGGTAAATGGAACCACCTCTCACTTTTAAAAGCGAAGGTTGATATATCACAGAAGAACTGATGTTTCTAGTATTGCATATATGGTACAAAAAAGTGTTATGCAAAACTACAACTGGTGAACCATTATTGTTGCAGTTTATTTACCATGCTTGTGAAAAATTATGATGTTACTCGTACACTTGCTACTGTTTGGGTGAAAATGCTTTTACTGCACGTTGTAATGCTTGATGCAATCCTCTTGTTTTCATTAAATTCAAGGACATATTCAAAGAAATTATGACCATCATTCGGGTAATTGACTGGCTAATTTTATTCCGCCAGCGCATGGAAGTGGTCCTTCTTTTTGAATTTGAAAACAAGTTCCTAGTGCCACCGTGTCCAATACTCCAATTCTATCACATTGCCACCTTATTGAGCCCCAATGATTGTGGCTCATAACTCATCAGTCATGAATGAAGTGTAATTCATACCAACAAATAGACTCTTCATGTTTTGATCTCGTCGAGATTAATGTGAAGTGTAATGTTACTGTGGTTTCTCTTGAAGGTGTTCCTATGTACTTATGAGTGCCCTTAGCCTTGAATGCATTTTTACCAAAGGATCGTGAGTCAACTTACTATTGTCTTTTCGAATCATTTTTTGTTTTTTATGGGCAGATAAGTTTAACCAATCAGTTTCTGTGGGGAAACATAAGATAGTGAATAATATGCATTTGTAGATGTGCACAAGTATGCGATATGGGAGGTCTTAACTTCGATGACTTGACTTTGGCTTATAGGTGCATGGTGTCGCATTATTTTCCTCTTATTTTGAGATTAGTCAACTATTGTAGCAATATTGGTTTCATCAAACTTGGACCTGCCGTTTCAGGGGCATTGATTTTGTTACCTCTCTTTTGATGACTGAATTGCTAGTTTGAACTTGAATGTATACTACTCTACCTGTTAACTATGGCACATATGTTGCTTTAGTTTGAGTCATAGTTAGCACAACTTGTTACAGAAGTTCTTTCGTGTTTGTAGCCGATCCCAATGCCTGATAAACATCCGTAATGTGTCTACAAAACATGATGGAGAAGATCGATCTAATGCTGCCATTATGACAATTGCTGACCTTGCTGGAGCTGAAAGAGAGAGGAGAACTGGAAATCAGGTTTTATGTTTTCCTTTTGTGTGTAAGACACGTGGGAAATACTCTAGCTAGTCTCTCCTTATCTTTACAATGTGAATAATGGAAAAGGGTACTTAACAAGTCACTCAGTGTAGTTCCTTTAATTAAAATAATGAAGTATGAGCTTCATGTGATGGGTAGTTTGTTATTTTGCAGGGGACAAGATTACTTGAAAGTAATTTCATCAATAACACATCCATGGTTTTTGGTCTGTGCTTGAGAGTATGTTATTTGACTTCATTTCATCAATTAATTCCCACAAATACCTAGAGCAGTTATCGCAAGATAATCAAACTAATGATTTCAATAATGCTTACAGTTACTTATACAGTAATGATATTGACCTTTCTTGGTTTGGTTATGAAGTCATTGTTGGAGCACCAAAAAAACCCGAAGAAAGTGTTGCAGAAGCATTACCAGAATTCTTTGGTAATAATCTTTCCATATCGTTATCAGTAACAGTTTATATACAGACTTGCGTGTCAATAGCTCTTGATGGAATGCCTTTTCTTCTGGTCATATGCATTTTGTCTAACGGCCAATTTGGAATTAGTATGTCCATGTGTAGTCCTTATGTTTTATGGTGCCAAATTCGGATGGCTACTAACGTAAGTTAGTATTACAGTTGACCAGATACTTGCGAGATTACTTCGAAGGCAAGAAGCGGATGACTTTGGTAGGAATTGTTCACTATCAATCTTCTGAGGTTCCAATTGTTTTTAGATTTTATAGGGTTAAAATTGTTTCTTGTTCAACAAGAAGTCTTCTTGGTTCAAGTTGTTGAAGAATCAAGGAGATGTTAGCAATCTGCATTGTTATCTTATATCATCTTCAAATTGTTAATACGTAGGTGTTTGGTTGTTGTAACTGCAGGTATTGACGGTTAAACCAGGAGAAGATGACTACCTCGATGCATCATATCTTTTGCGGCAGGCTTCACCTTATACGAAGATTAAGTATGGTTCTATCTGCAATGCTACTTCATTCAAACTATGAATCTTTTGTGTAGTATAATTAGATACTTGTGCTACTGGCATATTCAGGTTTAACAAAGTGGAGGAATCTTCCAATCCAATTGGTACTAAGAGACATTATCTGACAGCGCCTAGAGTTGAAGAGCCCAAGAGAAGGAAATATGGTGGCACTGATGCTTCTGTGGTACTGTTCTCTTTTCATTGGTTTGACATGCATGATTCAAGCGTTTGAATATTTTTGCTTGATGTTGCATATGGTGGCATCGATGTTTCTGTGGTACTGCTCTCTTTTCATTGGTTTGACATGCATGATTCAAGTGTTTGAATAATTTTGCTTGGTGTTGCATCTGCACACAGTCACTATGCTTCTGTAAATGGTTTTGAGGTCCTATAGGTTTCCTAACAACGTAATATTACACTTCCTGAGGAACTTTTTTGTGTGAAAACTCATCGTTACAAGGCAATGCTCCAGTCGACAAAAGTCAGAGACCTTATGTTGGCGTTTGATGGAATTTGCAGAGTCATGATTTTACTGCTGCTTCAATTAATTACTTTGACTATGATAGATTCACATTAGGCAATGGAGTTTTTGTGCTCTTTTGCTGCTTGTGTGGTGTGGGTTCCCTGCTTCTGATTAGGACCCATGCCAATTGTGAGTTTATAGATTCTATTGTAATTTGTAACTTAGGTGGATTGAATATCAGTTGGTGTTTTGTCTTGCTCACCGAAGAGAAACCTACGTAGTAAAACCTTGGACATGGTCGAGGACCACCAAGCTGAGCGTGTTAGGTCTTTGGCTCGAAGGCATCTTTATTTTTCTTCTAAAGGAAAAACATGAAAGTAGTAGCCGTAGGATGTGATGACTAGCAACTCATATGTGTCAATCTGGTCTAAGACAATGCTATCACTGGCTAATCTGTTATTTGGCATGGAGTGAACAAAACCAACAGTGAAAAAGAAGGAAACAAAAGCTCCTGTAAAATGCACACGTGCCATAGTAGCGCCACCTTGGTGTCATGTAAGCACTAGTGCATTCTCATTTGCTGACTCTGTAGTATTCTGACAGAGCATGATCAAGTTACCATTTTGACATTTTAGGTGAAGTTGAGTTGTCAGACTGAAGAATTTTGACTTCAGTGATTTGAATAGGGTAAAGTTTGGTGACTAAACGTGCAATTTATCCTCGCAACCCATTGAATTTTAGATTTTAACAACTCAGTCAACAGTAGCAGTGATATGTGATCGTCTTGGCACTCTCTTTCTTCTGGTGATTTGTACACTCGGTGTAGAGGATGAGTGATTAACTTAATTGCTGCAGCTGCAAGGACAAGATTTTGCTATAATGAGGGTGCTTAAGTGAATATTGCATGGGGAAAATTTATGCTAATGGTTTTTTGCACTAGAAAGCAGAGTCATAACAATGTTGGGGAAAACTGTCTTCTGTTTTGACATGAACTGCAACCACATTTATTTTCAAATCATCGTTTAATTCGTATGACCATCAAGAAATTTTTTTACTTTCATTCAAATAGATTTCTTTTTCCGGTTCTTTCTGGGCTCTTCGTCATAACTTCATGTCTACATGCTTCTACATAAATAAGCTGCTAGGAAATTTTCATCTTCCTTTTACATTTGCTGACCTTTATACATTGTTGATGACGACATACGTAAGTGCCTCCAACTTAGCTTTTTATTAACGTGTCGCACTTTCAGGTAGAAGACAGAAAATGTAGTGGCAAGGCTTCTCTATCAACTGAGGAAGGTGGATTTTAACACTTGCTCTCCTTTTCTTTTAGGGAAAATGTTATTAGTGGTCCCTCTACTTTTGCTCGAAATTCAAAACCCCCCTTTACTTTTTTTTGGTTTAAAAGCATCCCTGTTCTTTTTAAAATATTTCACGTTAATCCTTCCGTTAATTTTTTCTCCGGTTTAAAGCTTGTGGCCTCCATGGCAGCTTGAGCTTGAAGCTCGCACCATGGCCAGTTGAGTTCGAACTTGCGGCCACTATGGCCAGATCGGGCTTCGCAGCTCACAGCTATGGCTGTTTGAACTCAAAGCTTGCAGCCGCCATGGTCAGATCTAGCTTCAAAGTTTGCGGCCACCGTGGCTTCTTGAGCTCGAAGCTCGCTGCCATGGAAGAGCTTGAGCAGCATGGACATGTGGGAAAAAGGGAAAAAAATTAAGGACAGAAATTTTGACGGCGTTAACATCATGCCAGCAGAATCCGTCACTGGACCGACCGAGGGACGACCAGTGGCACTTTTTAAGAAGTACAGGATGCTTTTGAACAAATAAATGAAGTAACTGTTTTGAATTTCAAACAAAAGTAGAGGGACCACTGGTGACACTATTTCTTTCTTTTTCAAATATTTTGTAAGATTTTATTTGTTACTGGGATCTTTTCCTTAAAACAGAAGCCGGTGTAAAGCCAGATGTCATTATCTCCACATCCCAAAATTTGGATACCATTCAAACTAGTGGGAGCGACAGGTATAATCGTATCATGCAGGGTTTTGCTAAAGCTCTGTGGAAAGTTCTGAAGAAGTATAATGATAAACTGAAGGTACTTACAAGGGAGTTGTCTTTAGCGTTTTCTTATTTGACAGAACCATGTTAGGGGGGCACTCATTAAGCCTGTACTTGTTAAGCAGGCTTAACAAAGTAATATCCAATTTCCAATGCATTAATTGTACATTTAACAAGAGAAGGTAGTTTACTGCAATGAACTTTCCTTATTTAGTCACTTAAGAAGAGTCCTGAGGGCATTCTTTGACAAAATATTCTTATGGTTACCAATGCATTTTAGGTCTCAATAATGATGAAGCTACCATTTCTCAATTAGTTGCTTTGTCGTCCATAATCAGGTAGCAGATGGTGAAATCCAGAGTCTCCAAGAAAATCTTGATCAAGAGAAGACGAGGTGCTCTGAGCTGGAAAAGGAACTAATCAATTTGAGGGCCAACTGTACGTGCACGAAGGAACATGTCATGGAGGCCACTTCAGTGGTTCTAAATGTTGGTTTAGACTCTGCAGTAAATGGTTCACCTTTACACTCAGCAGAAGTGGACAGACATAAACCTGGCAACTCAAATGAGGTTTGTAAATCAGTGGTTCTGAATGTTGGTTCAGACTCTGCAGCAAATGGTTCATATTCACTCTCAGCAGAAGTGGACAGACATAAACCTGGCAACTCCAATCAGGTTTGGAAAAGAAAATCTGCTTTTGACATGGAGATCTTGACATTTATTCAGTATTTTACACGGTTTAGTTACACCCGCCCAAGACTGTTAAACATTTTGACTGTAGAAGAATGCATGAATAGTTTCCTTGTACTCAATTGAATTGTCTCAGGGAGTTTTCACATCATCAGATCAGGTGTTCTGATATAGTTGACTCCAATTCCTGCTTGTTGAAGACTTCGTAGCTCGTAAACAATCACGCTAAGGACCGTGCCCTATTATTGGCTGAAACTAACATAGCAAGCAATATGGTTTCATGATGTTTCTCCCTTACTCCTCCAGTTTAGCTTGTCATACCTTTCTTTTTGCTTGGCCAAGGTGGGAGGAGAAAACTTCAGTACAGTTTCTGATGCAGTTGATATTGATGATGGTTTGCAAGAATCTGATGTTAATGTAAGGCAGCTTATCTTGTAGTTTCAGTTTTCGTTGGTTTGGCTTGAGAAACTTTTGACAGGTTGGGCTTTGCTGATTGGTCAGGTGGCAGTACCTGCTTCTGATGCTGCCAATGCTTCACAAATTTCTGTTCCAAAGTCCAGTCAGCTGATTTATCCGGTAAAATAGCCAACTTGGTGAGTGATAGACGTAGGCATTCTACACTGGCAGTAAAAATTATTGAGGCGCAATATTTGATTTGCCAGGAAGAAAGTTTTGGTGAGAATGAGAATGCAGGGAAACATTTGATGGACTTACTTTGTCTCAAAATCATGGATGATCTTTCTGATGCAGATTCAAAAGGTTTGATGTCAACCTGTGAACTCTATGCTACAAACTCCACTTATATTCCTGATAAGAAAGATTGTGTTTGTATATGTTTGTGAGAACTCCTGGTGTGATGCTGTGTTGCCAGACAAGGAATAGTAGCTACTTATTCAGACACATGCATACAGACAAATATTTTGTTTTTCTAGGTATGGACCACATATATATAGACTTGTTATATGTCTTGAAGATGGAGCTAGCCTGCTTAAAGAAGACCAGCCAAAGTGGAACATGGTGTTAGACCATCTCGATTGTCTTGTTACTAGGAATGAAGATAGTTACTCAGAACATCTTTTAATCAAGAAGGGTAAATTTTTTGGACAGCCTCGTACGTTGAAATTAGCAGATGCCCTTCACTTTTAAAAAGTAGGATAGTCTCCTTGAGACCGTTGCTTGGACACCTTAATGTTCTTTTGAGAAGTGCATGGGCATCCTCCAAAATTTGGTGAAAATGCAAGGGCCTCTTCTGTACTTAAATGAAAATGCACAATTTTTGAAGATCCATTTGAATGGTGGGTCAGTGTAGGTATTGAAAAGTTGGAGTCTGCTTGAAATTTTACAAAAGCACTATTGCTTGTTCAATTGTTGGGGGGAAGACGAGCTTGTGCAAAACCGATTCTCTATGAAGGGACACCAATATGAAAACCCCGTGCCATGTGGATGTGGAACTATGATGTTAGGCGTCTTTGCGCAATATAGAACTTACGTAGAATTATTATGATCTCTGTTTGTTGTCAGGTTACATGTTCTTGATTTTGACTGCTTCAATGTTATTATGATCTTTAATGGCGGTTTCATTATCATCATGCATTTGGTAATCTATCAGACCATTGGTTAGCTACCGGTCTGGCAATTGATGAGGCTTCGTCATGAGGCCAAAGTTATTTTAGCCGTGAAATATGATCAATCAAGGAAGAAAGTCCCATGTCAGTTTCCAAAAAAAGAAAAACAAGAGCAAGAAAAGTGGTAGTAGATACTATCTATGTAGTCAATGCCATGTCCTCATTAATCATCGTCGAGTCAACCAACTCATCAACATTTATCGTTTACTAGTTAATTTAGTAGAGCATTAATGGTCTGGTAGAATGGGAAAATTCTAATGCACAAATTTTAAGTACAAACTAATTGCTCATAGAAGATCTAGAGAAAGATCAGGACGTGAATTTAGTTGCTGTTCTGGGTTTTCGGTTGTGTATTCAGTTCAACTGATGTTTGGACTTTGGCAGCTGTGATGCTAAGACTCCTATGTTTGTCCCTTGATAATTTGACTAGTACATCTTAGGTCTTTTTATCAGAGTGTTTTATCTCATGGCTTCTATATACATATAAAATTTCAACGTGCAGGTGCAGATTTATCTTCTCAGCCAGTTTTTATGGTTAGGAAAAACAGCTGTTCGTCAGTGGAGCTTGATCAGCTGCTAAGCGAAGATGATGAGGTTTTAATTATTTTGGATCCTATCACGTTCCATTTAGCCCTGCCTTGCTCTTGTAATGTTGGTATACTTCTTTTAGGGTCCATCTTTGTTTGTCGAGGTTCTTTGGTATATTTAATGAGCACGAATACGAGGTTGATGCTATGGGACTTTTTAAGATCTTGCTTCTATATGTTAAATTGAAATGCAGGACAAATACTTTAGAGTTTTAATAGGTTATGTAGGCATAAGCATTTGGAGTTTGTAAAGGTTGCTTTAACGCGTAAGTGGCGATCTCGGATAGTGCCTTGCTTGATTCTTACTTTCTATATGTGGCTTAGCTGTATTATGAGAGGTAGTGGGATCTAAATATGGAAGAGGCAAATGTAGTTTTCCTCATGAATAATGACTTACCGAACATAATTCAGAATGTCACTTTGAGATTAAACATATTGGACTTTTAAGTTATGTCTGATATTTCAAGCATCTGCATACGGATAGTTTCATTCTTTTACACATTTGTATCTGTCACTGATTTATAGCCTTTGAGCAAATTTCGTTTTCACCAGATGCTTAATTCTTTTGGTTTTCGTAACAGAAGTTTATCTTTTTGAATTTCAAGACATTGAAAGCAGAATATGATAAATTCATTGAGACATCATTAGAAAATCAAATATGCAAAACTACCTTTTCAGAATTCCAGCATATTAGTTGTTGTGGGCACTCATCAACTCAATCGAATCTTTTCTTATATTCCCCACTCTGAAATATCCTCCTCTAATTCTATCTCTTGGGTTATATTCAATATTTCTGCAATCTTCTTAAATCAATCTGGATTTATTTCATAATAATGTAAATTTATGCAGAACATACTACGCACGAGGTAGTATTTTTTGTTGATATTCTAAAGGAAGTAGTTTACATTTTCCTATAGAAATCACTTGATCAATCAGCATCAGTTGACAAAGATTTAGAATCTACTCAAGCATGTAGCTTTGGCAGTTCGGAAGAAACTGAACCGGGGCTCAACTCTTCCTACAAATGCCCAAGTCTGGAGAAGCCAAAAAGGTGAAGAGTGACATTTAATTTTCATCTCCCGTAGTGTTATTGAGGACAACACTTTGCAAGTCTCCTTTAAATTGCTTCTCCTGTTACCCTTGTTGATAAATTGTCCTTGCCAGGAGACTATTGCCTGCTTCGTCCATACTGTTAAGAGATATGAGCGCTTTAGATGTAGAGGATGAGATGGAAAAACCTAAGGTAAGTTCATTATGCGCATTTGGAATTCTTGTTAATTGGTTTGACAAATTTTCTCTAGCTCACTGACTTCTTTAGTTTATACATCCGCAACTGTTTTTTGTCCGGCAACCTGGAGTAATGGTGAAGTCTATTGTTTGCTTATTGATGTAATGGACTTCATGACTAGCAGGTAGCTGGGATATGTGTGGACAGTCATTATCCTCTTAGACGTAGAATGTCTCTTACTTTGCCGGGATATAATTAAGAATTACGTAAACAAACAATGGAGAGAAAGAACTTCCTATTGTTTACTTGAATTCTTCAACTCTGTCATTAATGGGCAGGGAAACAGAGGACAGAAGAAACTACCAGGAGAAGACAGAAAGAGAACTCAAGGGAGCACCACTTTACTACGGCTGCTGAAAAAGTAACCTCATACATAAGGTAGTCGAGTCACTTAGCAACTGGTGGTGTCAATGTGTATAGTTGGGGCGTTTTGTGATTTACCCATTTTTGCTTGAAAGTGAAGTCATCTCACTGTGGATGATTCATCAACACCATGTGTACTTCGTTCTTGACATGATTGATGGTGTCCTGGAACGTGCCTGATTATAGGCGGAAGAGTTGGCCACCCACTGGGAGCGAACTGAAATAGCGGTGTCATAGATTTACATATGAAGTTCGGAGATGTATATAAACATGCAGGCTACACCTTTATGATATATACACCTATGCTAAGTTTGGAAAAATTCTTGTTTTGTTTTTGTCTGATTTGATGAGGACCTTTTTGGCAGTAGTAAAACTGGCTAAAAGCCTTTAAACACTCAATTTTACGGACTCTAGAGTAGAAAACTCCAATTTTATCACCTAATAGATTTGAAATGAACCATGAAGGAGGACCCGACAAAAGCTCAGTCGATGACTTAGAATTGAGGCCATGATTTGCTAGCCAAAGGGAAGGGTATTTGGTGTGGAGATGCAGTACTATCTTCTGATTCTGGTGCTGGACCTTCGAGCGAGAAGGGAACTTTCATGCCGTCTCCTCAGCAGCTCGATGTATTCCATGGTTCGAGCGTGAGGAATCAGAGTTCTGGATGAACTTTGTAGCGTGAGCTCGTGTGTAGTTTAGGTGTCTAGATGTCCTTTGCTCTCTCTTTTTTAGCACTGACTGCCACCATGTCGCCCTTTCTTAGCCTGGTGATAAAAAGATGAGTTTCTTGGATTTGAAGTTACTCTCCTGTAAAGATCATTCTTGTCACGCCCGCCCAAACTACCCAGACCAGAAATAAATGAAGGGAGTTTCTTTCTTGTCATTATTCTAAGGACGATTAGAGACATTTAGAACATTCCTCTTTGGTGAAATGGCCAAAAAGAGAAGTGAATAGAGCATGTCGCCTTGCGGTCATGGGCCACCTTGGGTTATTTGGGGCCTAGGCACTTTTAGGTATAGAATCGGTGTATCTTCCAACCTTGTAGTAATCAAGTATAAAAATATCTTGAGTCATAAAGTTATTTATAACGTTTCAATGTGTCGTCGTAGTCAAGTGTAAGAAGATCATAACCAAACAAGGATAGACTGTGGAACGTTTCGAATGGCAGCCTCATTGGTGGTATTTGGTATCGGCCCAGAGAAGTAATGCAGATAGAAACAGAACGAGATTGTCCGCGAGATGAGGATGGATGATGATGTATCAATTGGGGCAAGGACAGCCTAAATTAACAATAAACAAAAGCACAGCATGTTCTCTGGTGGGGGCTCGTTCAATTCATGGGTTGATGGGAAGTTGTCCTTTTCCTTTTCCTCATATGCAGAAATGCTCCAGATGCTGTCTTTTATCTTATTATTATTTACATAATCAAAGGGGGACGAGGTCCCCCTCCCAGATTTTGCTGCTTCCCCACCAGCCTCAGCGATAAGTCAAAATGATGATTCGCAAAAACCATTAGAAAAGAAACATCGAGATCAATCTGCATCGAATAATGTTTGACACTTGGCCGGAGAAGAAAGCAAGACTACCACCTGCTGAGGTAAATTCCAACAACAATTAGACTTATGCTACCCTTTTGAGTGCCCAGAAAGCAATTTCTTTATTGGATTGAAGAGGTAAAGCTTCCAGATGCCTTGAACTTTGCCGGGGAGTTGACAGAAAGTTTGGTCTTCTGTTTTGCCATTTCGATACAAGAAAGCGATTCTTGATATCGATTAATAGAGATCGTTCTTGAAATGGTTTGGTATGAGCAGGATCTTTGTGTAACCGACTCGTGCTGTGAGATTATTGCGCTTGGTAATTGCCTTTTTTTGATCGTCCTATTATTAATGTCGTTGCCCTTGGTCGACATAAATGGTACTATCTCAATGCGATTCATTAGATTCATAATATCATCCCACATAATGAATCACTATCAAATAGAAGTTGAAGACGCATCTAGATTCGGGGTGAGTAAAGTATTGATCGCTTGGGCGAAAGATCATCTAATTCTTCCGAAAACGCTCGAGAATCTGTAAAGGGGGATGTACAAGGGAACCTGGGGTAACTCAATATTTTGCAGATCCATGTTCCAAAAGTGGGAAATTTGGTGAGTAACTTGGTAAAGTTCCACGACATTGGGTTATTCAAATTTGGCCTAAGTCAACAACAAGGAGGCAGGTTGAAATGTGACATGGAAGCACATTGGGGAGCAAATTACAACAGCCACGGAACTCGAAAGGGCAAAATGCAATTCAACCACTTTGCAATTGCACCTTTTCTATGTTGAATTTGCTAATCATTGACATACACACACAATATATATATGCAACTTGTTTTTCCAAAATAAAATACCTCGAAAAAAAAAGCACATAGCAGTAATCTACGAAATCAAAAGGTCATAAACTTACATCCCATGTTCCAGATTCCAAAAGCCTAGGACGTTCATCCACGGAACGACAAATACCCTACTCATCCCGCAACGCGTGCATCCGCGCAATTCGGTCCTTCCATGCACTAACTGAGGCTTCCATCGCCGATTCCGCTCTCGCTCTCGCTCTCGTGCCTCGCACGGCAGGCTCGCAAGCCCGCGACGGCCTCGCGGGTGGGCACGCCGACCGATGGATTCATCCGATTTTATGTTTCCTTCGGGGACCCTCCCGGATCCAAGGTAAAAAAAGATCCGACACGCACGAAAACATGGTACAAATCGTGCTCCTCTTTCCGGTCCAAAAGGAAAACAAACGAACGAGAAGCCGTCGTAGCACGGACCGGCAAAAGGTCGGGTCAGGCCCAGGCAGCAGCAGCAGCAGCAAAAGCCAAATTCACACCTTTTTATCGTCCCTCTCCTTTACATGGGGCGAAGGGAAAAAAGGAAAAGGGCAAGGCGGGGCTCGCACGTGTATGCTCCACGCGACAGTGCTGCTGGGCCACGACATGACAGTGACAATGATAAGCTCCTCTGCCCCTCCCTCCCCCCCCCCCCCACAACTTTCGCAGAAAATTGACAGTTTTGGAGGCTTTGCCCCTCCCCCTTTCCCCCAAATCCCCCCTCAAAAGACAAAAATAAAATAAAATAAAATGAAAATAAAAAAAATAGATATTTATTTTTTTGATTATCGATCCTACTCTACTCTGACTCTCAATTCACTCTCAAGCTTTTACCTTATCTCTTACAAGGCGTGGGAGCCGAAATCCATATCTGAAACTACACATCCTCACTTTTATCCTATGTTGAGAAGGCGGGGATTCAAATTTCCCATCTCTCTATTTTTAAGTAGGAAAGCTGACCATCATCGAGGCAAACCCAGCAATTGAAATAGGCATTTGAAAAAAAAAAATAATAAGAGAAAAGAGAAAAAGGGGAGAATATGGTATTCCAACTAACGATACCGGTTTGATGTGGGGGGAGCCAGCAGCAGCCGGCTCCTCCAAGCCGAGCCGCGCGGCTCGTCTCGCCCCCAGCGGCTCTTTTTGGTTGTGGGCCCCCCATTCCCCCCCTCGCCCTCCCCACGGGTCAGTATAAATTGAATTTGCGGGGAAAAAAAAAATCACTAATAATAATGATAACGATAATAATAGAGGCGGAAAAATAAAAAAATGTGGGGGAGAATTGACGGGATTTCGATTGACTCTCTCGGCTCTGGAGCGTCAAACCCCGAGAAATTAAGAAAGGAAATGGGGGAAAAATAACGGAATAATAATAAACTTAATTAATAAATAAAAAGAAAAAGAGGAAAACGAAAAGGCTATAGCTCGCCCCCCCACTCTTCTCTTTCTCTCTCTTCTTGTTGGGGGGACAAAACCGTGGGTTTTTGCGAAGAGAGAGAGAGAGAGAGAAACTACGGCCCAGCAGCAGCACCACCACCACCACCACCAGCCGCCAGCAGGAGCGGCCGCCTATTCCAGCAACAGCGAGCGCTCAAGAAGGGAGAAGAGAGAAGAGAGAAGAGAGAAGAGAGAAGAGAGAGAGTCGCGTCGGTAATCTCTGCACTGTGGAGAGAGAATTCTAGAACGAGAGGAGGAGGAAGAGGAGGAGGACGACGACGACGACGGAGGAGGGAGGTAGGTTTTTCCATGGCTTCGTCGGAGCCGGGGCTGGCGCTAGCTAGGGTTTCGGCGTGTTCTCTCGCGACGGCGAATCGTCGTCCTCCCCTCCTTCTCTTCTCTTCTCGCGATTTCGCTCGCCCCGCTTTTGAATTCCGTTTCGGGGCGGGTTTTGCCCCCCTTCTCTCGGGGGCGTGGGGTTTGATCCTGATTGGATTGCCGCAATCTCCGTACTGCTTTCGCACGCGAGGTTGGGGGGAGGACCCCGGGCGCGGGCGGGGGTACCGCGGGGGGAATTCCCTCGCTCTCCTCGCATTCTCTCTCTCTCTCTCTCTCTCTCCTGTTTCGGTTTGGGGGTCTCTAGGGTTTGATCTCCTCCTTCGAAGGGGGGGTCGAAAATTGGTCGCTCTTGATCGTGCCTTCATCTGTTCGCGGTCTAGGATTGGACCCCGATGAGCCGTCGGTCGTTTCGTCGGTTGCTCGTCCGTGTTTTTTTTGTTTTTTTGGGGGGGGACGGTTGGGGCATCCGTCGGGGCCGAATTGGTTAGGATTTATAGTCGGTACCTGCTGCGATCTTTTCGTGTTGTTGTTTTGTTTGGGTGCCGATACGTGGATTGAATTTCGTGCCTTGCTTGGATTTTTCAGGTGCGGAGTGTGATTAGTTTCGGGAATTCGATTGGAAGATGCCGGCTTTCATATCGCTGAATAGCTGGATCACGCGGTGTCTGGTAAGTCTGATCCTTGCTTGTAGTTTTTTCTGTATCGGTATTTCCCCCAATCATTACACGGCTTTTGGGTGTTCCGCCTCGTTTTAGGCCGTGTAAGACTTGTTGCCCGTTCAATGTGTCGAGTGTAGGGACTACCTTCTGTCGTTTGTCCTTTCAGATTCCAGTATTTGTCCTAAATAGGCTTTCTGTCTTTTGGATTTGGTGTAAAACATGGCATCTGCATGTCGATGAATCGTAAATTGTCACAGGTTTGTTTCATCATTTTTTTAATTAGTGGTTAATTATTCGAGATATCAAAACTGCAAACCGTGCTACTGATTGTCTGTCAAACTGATGATTTTAACTGTTTGTTTCCAATACCTTTTTCTCCGTCGATATATATTTTTTTTCCTTCCTCAAGTTTATGGAGTGGAGCTGAGGCCTGTTAACAGTTCTGTCTCCTATTGTTTTCTGAAGTGTATGTGCCTTTAGGTGTTCCTTCTGAAGAATATTGTAGTTCCTTCTGCTGTTTTTTTTCCCTACAAAAAGGTGGAATAGATGCACAGTAAACTAGAGATGGTTATAAATCGCTACTAGCAAGTGTCTGGCCTTATTTTGTGCCTGTCAAGAGGAAAGGATTCACTTGCACTTAGCCGCCATAGTGAAGTAGGCCCGGTACTGAAAGCAGTTAGAAGATTTTGTCAAATTCTACGACAAGGCCAGTTGAGAACCGTGTTAACTTTGGTTCTCAAGTTACAAGTCTTGATGTTGGCTTTATTACTGGACTTGTCCCATTATTAGTACTTGACTCCGGCAAGTTGTGGGTTTCATTTCTGCTGTAAATGGGTGCGACTCGATCAAGTTTCATTCTCTATTATATTGGCATGCCAGTAGCTCAATGCTGGATGAGGAAATTAGATCGTGTAACTCCATAAGGACACTATAACTTTTCATCTCGAGAAAATGACACGAGGACATTTTTTTCGTAGTTCTCATGCTATGTACAGCCAATTAAAGAAGGGAGCTGGAGATGATTTCCTCATAAAAACTTGTTGTGCAAAGATGTTTTAAGCTTTTTGAATGTACATGCCCTATACTTCTGCGGCATTGCTTTCTTAGGCCTTAAGCGATGGTTCCTGTGCTTATCCTGTTAGGATTACAGATATGATTGGGAGAAAACAGTGTAGATGCTGCTGCGTGCTTTGCTTTTACCGTGTTTTGTTCTGTTTTGCTTTGCTACTGTTGCTAATTGAATTATATCACTCGACAAACATCCAGCGAGCGAAGATTAAGACAAATTAACGAGCCACGGCATTAGGTGGGACTCCTTAAGCACTAATATCAGATGTTACATGATGAGTCGCTGAATGTCCTTGTCGGGTTATTGTCATGATTTTTTGTGATTACCCAGATTTCTTTTGTTCTTCGCTCTAGTTTGTATCCGCTATCCACACAATTAAGTCAAACCGATGGAAGTTCACCATATGGCCATTTTGCATTCCTATCTAGCAATAAACTGGGAGTCAAGCAGCTAGAAGTTCACTATCCGACAGAGTACTTTGTCTTTTCCTTATTAAATGTTTTAGGATATGTTATTTTCCTTTTCTCGTTTATCTTTTGCAATGACCTGTTTGATGCTTTTACTTTTGGGGATGGCAGTTTGCCTAATTTTTTTTGGCTTGTTTCAGATGTTATCAAACATGACAATTCGCCAATTTAAACTGTAACTTAAATGAGTGTCACCAGATTTGATATGATATTTCTGTAAGAGACCTAAAAGTTAACATAGGGAGTTCTCTTCTTGGAATCCGCTTTGCACCATTTAGTTTTGCGGTTTGGTGTTTTTTCGAATTCGACTGTGACAAGACAGCAAGGGTCACCTTATGTCGTAGAAGTGCATCTTGTAGGAAGCAACGGCAGCTTGTCTGAGTTGATGCGACTGGATAGACTTACCTCTGTAACATTCTTATGCCCAGATCATTTGTTATTCCTTGGGGTTCCTTGAGTTTTTAATATTGTTCTGTGATTACATTTTTGCATGTCATGATCACTCAGGAGACATTCTTTTACACTGAAGAAGGATTGCCAAAGAACTAATTTGCTCGTTGGTTACTTCTTGTTCGAGGCATCTATTTGAAAGCCTTTTGTATTTGGCTTGACTTGATTGGTCTGTCGTTAAATGGGTGGGAAATGTCTGTTTGCTACCGAACGTTGTCTGTGCTGTGCAAATTATGGTTGTTTCAGAATGTCAGTTCCTTTGGCATCTTCTCCTCCTTAGAGAAATGGTGAGGTCTAGTATTTACCTGCATTTTAATGTTACATTCTGTAGGGAAACTTTCAAACATTCTTGCCATCCAAAGAGTAATGCAACTTTTGCTGCTTGGCAAAATATGAGCATGGCACAAGGATATATTTAGGATGAAGTACAATATTTAAGGCACCATGACACTTGAAGATTTTTTCACTCTAACTGAGATGAAGGATGGATTGACTGCTCCCTCCCGTGTTGAGGAGCTGGTCAGTGTTATGCAGAAAGAAAAGGATTATGTTCTGAAGAATGCTGGCGATGCAATCAGGCAGTGGGCTGCTGTTGCAAGTACCATTGCTGCCACGGAGAGTAAAGAGTGTCTTGATCTTTTTGTTGAGTTAGATGGAGTATCGTTCATTGATAGATGGCTAAGGGATGCTGAAAAGTTTGAAAATGACTCTAGTGATAGTCTTGTGGAGGAGTCGATGACTGTGCTGCTACATGCAATAAAGAAGCTAGATCTAGACACTGGGAGGTCAGTTTCTTCTGGAATTTGGATTACCATCAAGAATCTTCTTGGCCACCGTAGCGTAAAGGTTCAGGATAGTGCAAGAGCGCTTTTCGAGAGCTGGAAGCACAGTGAGGATGGTGATAATCGTTGCCATGATATCGGAAGTGCTATGTCACGTGACAATGGGACTGAGGAAGTCGGGAATCCTGTTAGAGAGAGTGGTCAGTCTGAATGCCCTGATGTAAATGTTGCACTTTCCAATGAAAGAGGTAATGCAGAAG